TATGATTTAGTGTTTGAATTCCCTTCCATTCAAATATAAAATTTATGAAGACAGGAATATATGTGTGCTTTGTTTGCAGATAGATTCCTAGCAACTAGAACAAGGCTCAGAAGTGTTGTGCCAGGTTTTGAGTTTCCCAAAGACCACCAAGGAGCCGAATCAGATGCAAAGCACATGAGTGTCTTTATTGCAAGCTCCAGCCTGAGCTCCCAACATGCAGTGGCGCAGCCGAAGTTGAGAGCCCTGAGCTCAGGGAAGGGAGGGTTTTTATTACAGAAGAGGGGAGTTTTTGCTCAGCAGAGGGGGTTTTTGCTCAGCAGTACATTGATTGGTGGACATTGAACAAAGTTATCTTGTCTTAACCCGGTTGACCTTCACTACTCGGCCCGCATACCTTAGGACATCTGGTATTTTCCTGATATGTACTGGTTACTTGCCTACTTGCTAATTGGCTGTTGCTATGGGATGAGCAAGATTAGGACATTTACAGTTAAATTTGGCCTTGGTGCCTTGTTGATAAACGAAACTTAGGCCTGGCTGGTTCAGAAGCATTCTGAAGCCTGTCATGGCGTCAGTTTGGTCTTTTAGAAGGTGGTCATTCTCCTCAGCTATGGATCTGTACTGGGGCCTTCGGGGAGATACCTAGAAAGACAAAGGTAGAAACACTTGAAATAGATGTGGGTAAGACATAGAGAGGCCAAAAGTAGCAGCCGCTATCTTGGTTTGTACTTTGACTTTGCTCCTTTCATCCCAGACTTGCCTGACCCTTGTCAGCCCCTTTCTGTGGTTCCCCACCATAGTATGACAAGCTTTGGGGCTTCAGTGGCTCTGCATCAGGCCCACCTTATTTGGCAAAACTTTTACCCAGAAGGGGATTATGTGGGCTTTTTCTATTTTTTACAGATTGGAATTTACTTATGCAACAGAACTGGGGTACAGGCCAGACGTTTGTGGGGTGGGGAGGTGGGGGGGGTGAAAGGATTCATCAAAGACAGAGAACAGGCAGATGTACTGAAATCCACTGTTGAGGAAAGCAGCAGGTGGGTCAGGAGAGGTCTGACATACCATGTGGGTCACCTCCCTGGCCAGGGATCAAACTTGTGCTGTTGTGGCAGCTGATAGCTTCACAGTGCTGTGCTTTAACCCCTTGTACTACCAGGGAGGGCCCTATATATGTATGGGTTTTTTATTTGGAAACCCTTGTCCTTTCATTACACACACTAATTCTACTAAAATTGTTTCACAAAAAAATATGCTGTTTTGTGCACACGATGGCCAGACTCCCTTAGAACATGCAGTTTGGGGGCCTACTTCTGAGTACTGATAGAATCCCCAGGTTTCATCCTTTGGTTCAAGTTTTCTCACCCTCAGCACTCAATTCTTGAGGGAGGTGGGTAGATGCTCCTTTGTTTTATAGAAAGCATCCCTGAACTTTATTGACAAGAACGAGTACCACCCTCCACCCACATGTGACAGATAAAAAGTCTCTAGACATTTACGCATATCCCGAGAGGTAAATTCCATTGAACTTCATTGCCTTACATGTTTCTCTTATTTTCTTATAAAGTCAATCATCTAAACAAAGTGGTGTGATTTTAGATTTTATGTAGCATTTTAAGTTTTTTAACATTTTCAGAGCAATTTTGGATCTAGAGAAAAAGTGTGAAAGAAGTAGACTTATATGTTCTATACCTATTAATATCTTATATCAATGGAATCCATTTATTTTAATAATGAACTAATACCGACATTGTTATTAACTTGAATTCATATAAAATTTAGTTTTTACTCAAAGCATTTTCTTATTCCAAATCCTGCTCAAGATACCACATTACATTTAGTCACTACATCCCCTTAGGGTCCTCTTGGCTGTGACAGGTTCTTAGGTTTTCCTTATGTTTGATGACTGACAATTTTGAAGAGTACTAAGGAGGTCTTTGTGGAATACTCTTTAGTTGGGGTTTGTCTGTTTTTCTCATGGTTAGGTTAGCATTTTAGGTTTGGGGGAGAAAGACCACAAAGATAAAGTACCGTTTCATTAATTCATGTCAGTGGTCCACATTATCAGCAGAACTCATCCCACTTGATTTCGTGTTGATCACCTAAGTCATGTTGGTCAGCTTTTTTCCCTGTAAAGTTAATTTTCTTTTCTATACTGTGCCTTTCGGACAGAAGTCACTACATATAGCTCAAACTTAAGGAATAGGGACTTGTTCTCTACCTCATTGAAGAAGCAATATTAAATTATTTGGAATTCAGACTGTTGATTTGCCATTCCTTCCAGTTTATTCAATCCTATCCAATTTTGGTCTCATGGGTATTTATTTTATACTTTGGTAATTTTGGTAATCCAGTACCACTTGTTAATTGTATATTTTCTGTTCCAGCTCTAAATTCAGTAATATTCCCTATGAATTTGGTTCCTTTTATTGGAGTTTAGTATTAGAAATCAAGATCTGATTTCTGATTTACTAAGTATGCTCATACCTATTTTTTTTCAATTCGAGTTTCAAGACATCTAGCCCCTGCACCTCTTATATAAATCCAAAAACAGAATTTAATTTGGCACAAAGTAAAGGCAAGGGGTAATTCCAAAGCTTGATCCAAAATATCAGCCATTAAGAGATAGATGGTTCGGGGCCCTCCCTGGTGGTGAAGCGGGTTAAAGCACAGCAATATGAAGCTTCCTGCAGCCACTGCAGCATAAGTCCACTGCAGCATAAGTTCAATCCCCAGTCAGGGAGCTGACCCACATGGCTCAGTAGACCTCTCCTGTCTCACCTACTGCTCCCCTTAGCAGTGTGTTTCAGTACATCCTCCTGTTCTGCGACCAACTTTGTCTCACTCCACTCCCATACTTCTGGCCTGTACCCCAGCTCTTGTATGCATAAATAAACAAACCTTAAAAATATAAGACATTCTCTTACTAATCATTAGTACAATTATCAAATTCAGAAAATGTATTACTAAAAATACTTTAACCTGTAGTACATACTCCGATTTCTGAATTGTGCTGAAAACGTTCTTTTGGACCCTCCCTGTGGCACAACGAGCTAAAGCACAGCACTATCAAGTGTTCTTTATATTAAAAAAAAAAATATATATATATATATACACACACAAAATCCATCTTAGAATGTGCACAGATGTGTACCACATCCTGTTTTAATGATGCAAAGGATAAACTTCCCTTGCTTTCTCAAAGAACTAATTTAAGAATTTTAAAGTTTATACCTATTTCTCCTCTATCGAAATTCTGTAGAGAACCTCATGCTATTTTTGCCTTAATCCAAGTCAGATTATATTATCATCACATTGTTAATAAATTAACATTTCTGTATTATTATGTAACTTTGAATTTTAAAATAACAGTGCCATCTGGTGGTTATGGATCTAGATCTAAGAGTGGAATTATTTTGGTAACTGATTTAAGTTTTTGAGGAACTGCAAAACTGTTTTTCCAAAGAGGCTGTGCCATTTTACATTTTTACCAGCAATGCATAAGGATTCCAGTTTCCCTACATCCTGGCCAATTGCCACCCTAGTGGGTGTCAGATGGGATTTGATTTTGATTTTAACTGCCTTGATAATGATATTGGGCACCTTTTCTTTGCTTGCTGGCCAGTGGTATTTTATTTTTGGAATAACATCTATTCAGATCCTTTGCTCATATTTAAACAGGTGTTTACATCTTTTTATTGTTGATTTGTAATTCTTTTTACTTTCTATACAGGAGGCTTTGTCAGGTAATATGATTTACAAATATTTTCTCCCATTGTGTAGGCTATCTTTTCACTCCTGAGTGGAAAAAAGATTTTACATAACAATACCGATCAATGCTCACTTAAAATCCTAATGTTTACAAGTTACACAATGGTTTCTTGTCATTTTTCCCACATAGATGGAGCCCTTGCCCTTTTTATCCTGCTGAATCTCCCGTGATCAGTACACACTACCTTCTAATATTTGCCGAGGAAAAAAAGTCCTCCAGGGTCTCTAAGAATCAATTACAAATACAAATGCCTACAGGTTGGCAAGTGAAATAAATGAATTAAGAAGGGCCATTTAGGGCTTGTAATAGACTAAGCGGGAGAGTACACACCTATCTACAGACTAGTTTCTTTTAACAAGTCCTCACAATAAATCTCGTCAACCTGTTGTACCCCTTCAAAATACAAAGCAATTTCTTCACGTCCTAGGACTACTATACCAGCTCCCTAGGGTAGCTAAGCCCCCAAGTATGCTACCAACCAACAGCAATACTGGATTCCAGTGTTCACCTATTCCAATACCAAGTTTAGGAGTTTTCTCGCTGAGATACTGGCTAGGAGGCCAAAACTCAGTGCTGTGAATTATTCTGATCCAGAAGCTGCTCCCCAACCACCTCCACCCCCAATCCCTGGACTCCCTACAGACGCGCGAGGTCTGTTGCCAGCGTTACTCCAGATTCCGTGAGAAAGTCGACACGCGACGCTGGCTGGCTTCTGAGAGAAAGCGACAATATGCCGAGGAAAAGCCTCCGTGACCGAGGCCATCGAGAGAGCACGTGCAGCTGGACAGAGGGCCAGGTTCCGGCGTCGAGGAAGAGAAGACCCCGGGCCAACGCACTCCGGAGTCAGAGGCCGTTGAGGATAAGCCGCATCCTAACGCTCAAGATCTAGTGCACGAATCTGACCGCTGCTTTGCAGGTCGGGGACCACAGCGCGGCCACCATGAACCTTGTACTGGCTGGGGGAGAGGCGTACGTAGAGGCTGACGCGCTCAAGAGCCGGACGCTAGCGGGAAGTCGATTGTCACCTTACAGACCTAAGGGTGGGGCGGGGTTGACTACGCGCTTGCGCAGAGAGCTGGTTTCCTGGAGTCAGGCAGGGGCGGGCGGAAACTAGCGCCGGGGAGGTCCCCTGCGTGCGCAGGCGCACTCAGCGACCTCCCGCTTCTTATCCCCATTGCCCCGCAGGCCTCGGGGCGGGGCCTCGGGGGTGGGGTCTCGGGGCGGGGCTAAATGCGGAGGGACGGTCCACCTTTCTCCCCTCTGCTTCCAATTTTGCTGTCTACTCCGATCTACCGAAGTCATGCTACCCAACACCGGGTAAGGGGGTGGGAGCGTGTGGGGATACCCGGTCGGGAGGAGTCGGGGCTAGGTGGGGTGCAATGGAGGGTCCGGCCTCGGCGGTGGGGGCAGGGGGGCTCAAGGAAACTTCCCCTGCGCCGTCTGGAGCGCTGGTGGGTGCTGGACTCGGGGTTACTAAAATCTGCGGTAACGGGGAAAGAGTAATCCAAAGTTAAGATTGCAGCCTTGTAAAACAACAGCAGCACGTGTTCCACGATAAAGAATCTAGAGTGGGTAACCCCGCCGTCCCCAAGGACGCCCCCCCCCCCTTTGGGTGTAGCAATAACTGCGTATCTTGTATGAAGGCGTCCAAGTTCTAGGGGAAAGGTCATTGTAACACCTAGCGAGTCTCCAGTTGTTCTAAACGCTCGATTTTGGAATAATAAAGTATTGGGGTGTTTAAAAAGTGTTTTAAAAAATGAATCTTAAAGTGTGTATCTTTTTGGGGGGTTTACTTTTACAAGATTTTTAAGTGTGATAAAATACACGTAACGTAAAATTTGCTCGCTTAAACATTTTGAAGTTTACTATTCGGTTGTGTTTAGTGTGTGTGCCCTGCTGTGCAAGTGATCTGCAGAATTTTTTTCTATTTGCAGAACTCATTACTCACTGAACAGCTTCCCTTCTTTCCCCCACCCCCTAGCAAGCACCATTCTATTTTCTATTGCTGTCAAGTAAGGGAGTCTTGAACTGAGTGAGCTGTTCATTTTGTAATTTACTTGAAACACACAGGCTCGTGGCCAAAGACTTAACAGCCTGTAAGTATGTTTTTTCATCCTTAACTTTTCCCCCAATACTCTGGTATGTTTCCAAAAATACCACATGTATTTAAGAACATATTTTGTATTCAGTTCCACCTTGAGAACTAGTAGCACTCTCTCTCCTGGGTCTTGATATTTTTACCTAATAGGTCTTGGTTACATATTTTTCAGTATATGTAGATCTTCTTCCCTTTTGATGTTCCATTGATGTGTAATCATTTACTTAACCAGTCCCCTGTCCATGGATACTAGATTTTTTCTAGTTTTTTTGTTACTCCTTCTTTGTCACAATAATTATTATGTATTCTGTTGTGTATTCTTGTATCTGTTTTGCACATATTTTGGTATATGTATATGATAAGTTCCTGGAAATGAAGTTGCTGGTGCAAAGAGTACTGGATATGCACTTTAAAGTTTGATAGCTAATACCAATAGCCTTCCAAAGAGGTTACAGGTCCACAGGATGAATGATATTTCCTAATCCAACACTCTGGCAAGGTAGCAAAATAGTTGATCATAAAACATAGTTCAAATTTGCATCATGAAATAGAATCAAGGCTTTTTTTTTTTTACATTTTAAAAGGAAAGATTGATCCGGAAAAGGAGAAAGGAAAAAAGAGACACCTGCATAGTATAGTCATGGGCCTCAGAAAGGAGACCTCTGATCAGGATCTTTTTATTTGTTTAAAGCAGCAATCCTCACCAAGAGCAATTTTGACCTCCATAGGATATTTGTGCATATCTGGGAACATTTTGATTATTAAAATGGGGTAGAGGTTGCTGCTATTGGCATCTGATATGTAGAGTTCAGTTGTGTTGGTAGAAATCCCATAATAGACATGACAGCCCCATACTATCAAAGAATTATCTTGTCCAAAATGTCAAATAGTGCAGAGATTGAGAAATTTTGGTTTAAAAACATCTGTCTGTGTTTTTCTTGCCTGATTTAAATAGTTAGGTTTTGGTTGATCTCTGAGAACTCTTTTTAAAAAAATTATCTAAATTGTTTATTACAAATACTTTTTTCTTTTTTATTTTTATCGAATCTTGACTTTGAGTATACTCTGCTTATGCAGAAATCTGTTTTTATTGCGCCAGTTATTAATCCTCTAAGGCACTTTGGTTTTAGGAAAAATCTGAAAGGTCACCATACTTTTATTTATTTATGGATACAAGAACTAGGCTATAGGTCAGAGATGCAGGGGGTGAGAGGATTCACTAGAGACAAAGTGGGGAGCAGAACAGGTAGATTAACTGAAATATACTGCTGAGGGGAGCAGCGGGCAAGACAGGAGAGGTCCGCTGCGCCATGTGGGCCACCTCCCTGGGTGGGGACAGTATTAAACTCGGGGCACTTTGCTGCAGGAGTGTTTTCATGGTGGTAGTGTTGAGACTTAACACCTAGGTCACCAAGAGGCCCCCTGCACTCAAATTTTTCATCCACATGAATATTTTTCATACTATTTTGATAGAGGAAAAAATAAATTGAGAAGCCCACTTCATTTGCTTTGGATGTATAATTGTCCTGTATACTTGACTAGTTACCTATTCCTTTCTGTTAGAAAATTCACCAGTTATATACTTAATTCTTGTATGACAGAGGGCTGTTTCTGGATTTTGTATTCTATACAGTACTCTGGTTTGTATATTCGTGCACCAGCACTGAATTATTTTGGCTCTCATTTTACACAATTTAAATAACTGAGAAGGCCAGTTCCTACCTCATTTGGATTATTTTTCAGAATTTTCCTAGTTATGCTTGGGTTTTTATTTTTCCAAATAAACTTTAGAATGGCTGCCATCATTTTTAAGGTGATTATTTTGCTTAAAAATTTCCTCACTTTTATCCTGTTTTAAACATAGCAGAGAATTCTGATAAATTGTAGAGGTCAGCTCTGCATCACCAAGTTTTAACTACCTGCCAGTGATATTGAGGAATTTGATGTCTTACATTCTCTCTTCTGTCCACTGTTTGTAATGCTTTCAAGCTGGAGGAGTTCCTCAGTAGAACAACCTGGACTTCAGGTTGAGAGGAGCTGCTAATCTTTGCCTTGTCTCTACCAGTGCTTGAGCCTCTGTGGGGAGGAGTCCTTGAAAATGCCTTTATCCTACTGGGAATCAATCCAGCTAGACTGAAGGCAGAGGCTTAGGGCTCTTTAAAGCAATGCTTGGGTCGTTTTTCATCTAAATATTCACATTAAAAATCTAATACTATGTGTACTACCTTTTGATTAAAAAAGCAGGCAAAATTATGCCTATCTAAGTTGTGTTATTTAAGTGTATGTTTGCATATTTTTGGAAAAGAGAATATAAAAAAGAGAAGCCAGAGATTAGTGAAGCTCTGATGGATATGGGATTAGACTTGAGTATGTGTGTTTATAAGGCTTTAACATTGTTGTTGTTTTTTTAAGATTTATTTATTTATGCTTACAGAACTAAGGTACAGACCAAAGGATCAGGGGTGGTGAGAGGATTCACCAGAGGCAGAGTGAGGAGTAGGACAGACAAATCGATCAAGTACACTTCTGAGGGGAGCAGCAGGTGATATAGAGGAGGTCTGCCACACCATGTGGGTCACCTCTGGGATGGGGATTGAACTCATGCTGAAGTTGCTGCAGCTAGCTTCACAGTGCTGCACTGTAACCCGTTGCACCACCAGGGAAGGCCATAAGGCTTTGACTTTTAAACCATGTCTATATTTTATCGCATCTCTCACCAAAGATGAGAGAAAAGAGGTAAGCTGAAATGGAATGCCAGCATGCCAAATGAACTTAACTATATATCAAATTTATCACATAAACATAGAAAAATAAGGTACATTTTAGCTAGTAATTGTGTATGCCGGGCCCTCCCTGGTGGCGCAGCGGGTTAAAGCACAGCACTAAGAAGCTTAAGCTACTTCTGCATGAGTTCCATCCCCGCCTGCCCCGGAGG